GAGCTGGTGGATGGCGAAAAGCAGTTTCATTACCGCTCAGCAAAACGAAGCATCTCTTGAAAGCGCTAGTGACAGTCAGGAAGTTGGGCTGGGCGGTTTGTTTTGCATTTTAAGAAGCCTGCAGGGACACTGACAACCTGCAACGATCTTTTTCAGAAAGGAGCTCAGAGAAACTCATGATTTTCAGCAACCATTTACCCTCCTTTGTCCTTGATTCAAAATTTGCCAAGAGGCTGCTTACAAGATGCACCAAAACAGGGAGTGACCACTGCCCTAAGTGTGAAGGTTTGCTGCAATACGTCCCCGTACATCACTCAGAGAGCCCCACACCAGTGCCTGAGGTTGGTTTTAAGAGCAAAAACATGACKTTCAAGCTGACAGCCCCCGCGCACAAAGCACGACTGTGCGGTGACAAGAGAGCAGCCTGGGGCACAGGAGCTGCCTGACCTCTGCTACAGCTCTCGCCGGCCCATTTTTATTGTTCACCACTTTCCCAAAGCACAGGCATGGAGAGAAAGTCAACTAAGACACTTGGTTCAAAATGCAAACGCAGCTAGGGAGCCCCACCAGCACAGCAGGGAAAAGACAACCTGCCGGAGGGGACCACACCTCAGTGTTGCCAGGCTGGGGGAAAGAAGGACCTGAACATGGGCCCTCCCTTCCCAGGGGCAACAGCGAGAGATGCTGAAGGCCTGGATCACCACCACACAGGCTCACCCGAGAGAAAGCAGCTCCTCACACACAGCACTGCAGGCCAGTCCTCTGCTTTGCATGGCTGAGCTAAAAAACTTCATCCTGCTTTCCAGGGTAGCCAAGGAAGACCCTGAACTAGAGCTCCACAGCCAGCAAGGGCAGGTCTCCAGGGACCAGTCTACAGCTGAAAAATAATATTCCCAAGGCCTGCAAGCACTGCTCAACCTYGCCCTCTGCCATGCACACAGCCAAGCGTGGAGCCCTCACAAACCACCCCRCTCCAGAAAACCCAGACATGCCACATTGGACATGGGCCCCATGGGCTGCTTGTGCCCTCCWGGAAACAGCTCCTGCCCAGAAAGGCTGAGCACTTGCAGGTGCAAGGGTGGAAGGAAGGATAARCACCATGGTGCAGCTCTGCTGCCAGAGAGTCAGCAGGCTGGCTTCTCCCAAYACCCTGGTGAGCCGACAGCAGATCCACACTGCTCTGGAACTGACCTGTCTCAGGGAGCCACGCAACATCCTCATGCAGMTCCATGATCGCAGGGCTCAGGGGCTGSCTCTCCCAAGTTCCTGCACCAATGYTGGAGAGACTCTGGGWGGTCTCTCAGCACCAGCAGCTTCCTTGGATGTTTTAGCAGCCTCTGGACTGGCACCCTACAGGCTGTGCCTGCCTGATGGGTACACAAACTCCTTGGCCAACCAATCACCCCCACAGGGCAGGTGGCAAACCATGTTTCTCCAGACTGGTCCAAGCAGGGAGACAAGGGATGGTGGGAAAACGCTGTGCACCAGCTCCTCAATAAAGAGGTGAAAACCCCAAAGGTATCCAGAAGCCAGGCTTTTCTGCCGAAAACCAGYGCCGTGCCGCCTGCCACCACCACCTCCCGAGCTGTGCCCCGCGGCCGGCCTCACGTGACAGTGGAGTGGATGCACACAGGAGGAGTGGCTGTAGTGACAGCGTTACAGCTTGTGTCCAACACACAGCTGAGCCCAGCAAATCCCAGCGCTCTGCAGCTCTCCTTTACAAACTCCACACACTGCGCAGGTACACGGGCATCAGCGAGGGCTCAGTGCCCACAGCCCTGGGAAAATTAYACCTGGAGGGACACAGCCCAGCAAGCATGGTGCTCCCAAACTCTGATGTTCACTAGCACAAGGACTGGCCCACACCAAGCCCCAGGGACAAGGAGAGCTTTTCTAACACAAGCCCCAACTGCCCAGGGACAGACCCTCTGCTATTTCAGCACACATACTCCTGGCAGGAAGCACGGACACCTGGCAGGATAAACAGGACTCCAGCCTGTCCGACTCTGCTCCAAGTGACTGCACATCACTTCCCACTCTGCCCTGGGTGGCAGGCCTTGACCAGCTCTGCAGACACCTGGGAGTAAAGTGCTGCGACCTGAAGCCCAGCCCTTACCTGCCAGCTGTTATTTCATTCCTCTAACAGGTCCATAAACCAAGGATAATTAAATCTCTCCTAAACTCTCTTCCATTTAAAATAAAAATCTATAGTCCCTATTTCATTAGCTGGCTCTGGGTTTTACAGCTTGATCAATTCCCCTCACAGGGCCCTGGTCCCAGGCAGGCAGATGCAAACATGCAGCTTCCACCGTGCAGATCAATGGGATTCACAARGTCTCCTCTCCCCATTCCTTGTTCCTCACTCACCAAAGGGAGCCACACAGCACAGCAGGTAGGGACAGTGTGTTTCACTGCTCAAGGGAACACCACTGCCATGCATGGCTTCAGAGGTCAGAGTTAGCACCTGGCAAGAGCAGAGACAGCAGTGATGCTCCCTCTCCAGTGAAAGGAGCGCCCAGCATGGGGCCCCAAGAATGCAGCCCTGACTCTAAAGCAGAAGCAGCCCAGCCTGCCGGCAGAGTGACACCTCCTTGTTTGCTTCACAGTGAAGAGGGACAAGGCTCAGCTTCCACAGCTGACAGCTGGCATCAGAGCCCACCACAAACATCAACTGGGAACCAAGAGCAGCCACCACCTCTCTGATCTCCCTACACACAAAGCGGAAGGAACTCGTCACTGAGACCCAAGCACACAGGCTCAGTGTTTCCTGCCCTCCACTGCTGCCCTGACACACAACACCTTCCCCCTGCCAGCCCACCAGGCCACTGGGCTTCAGATGGCTCTCATCACCCCTGCAAGCCTCTCCCTCCGCTGCAGTGGGAGCTTTCAGAACCTGGCAGMAGATGGAGGGACCACAGCAGCAGCCAGAGCTGCACCAACAGTGTCTGAGCAGAGCCCACAGAGTGGACATCAGAATGCTGGACAGCTTTTGGCCTGAGCCAGCACCCAGGTGCCACCCAGCACCTATCACATAATTTCCCTCTGTTCCAGGTGCATATCCCTTCCACCCTCCTCCTTTTGCTCAGCCAGAAAGCATCAAGCTGCCACAGTCCGAGTACTATCAATGCCAGGACACAWCGTGGTGGCAGTCCCCAGGGGGGGAGGTCCAGCAGCCCCAGCTCCAGTGAGCTCTACCCTGGCCACACAMTGCTGGTGATGGACATACCACACCACCAGGGCCCAAATCCTGATCTGTACTGGWACCAGCTGGTGCTTGCCAGGTGATATCAGGCCTCTGGAACACGAAACAGCCACCCCTCAGAGTGCCTGGCTCCCTCCAAGCAAGGCTGGGGGAACAAAGCTTTGCCATCCCACTGAGACTCCTTGCATGGCTGCATGCAGGGAGGTGGCACTGGAGCCTTCCAAACACACACAGGTTCCTCCTGCCTCACCTCCCATGCCAACACCTTCCTTGTCTCTGCTAGCACCGTGTCCCGATGTGGGGGAGCACACAGGGGCCACAGTTCACCTGCTAAACCTAAGCCACTGCACGAGGGGTGTGACACGACCCGGCCAGCCCCCGAGCAGACACCCAAAGGTGACAAACAAAGGCGCCCAGCAGGCACTCCGCATTAGCAGTATTTTTAGACACCACTATGGAGCCGGCCTTATTATTTTCATTGCAACGTGCATAATTACCCACCATGCACCGCAGTGACATCAGACGCAGCCGGCTCCCCTCCGACAGCTGCTCCTCCTCCCGGGGCTCCTGCCTGGCCCCGGGGACCCACCTGCCCCGCCRGGCTCAGCCCTGCGCATCTCCCCGGGGCACAACACCCAATCTCCAGGGGGGCCTCGAGGTCCTGGGGGGTCAGAGCCGACATGGGCGCAGGGGACAGAGGGACGGAACAAGGTACTAGCACAGGACAGCAAGAAGGGGAGCACAGGGATGAGCTCTGGAGCTGCAGGCACACACAGCCAGCTGTCCTGGGGCACGGGGCCGATGCAGAGCTGGTGGACAAGGCACCGGCACAAAACAGAGCCGCGCTCCTGGGAAGAGGGGTGTCCCCACACGGAGGGACAGCACCCACTTGGCCGCAGAGCTCAAGTGCCCGGGAGAGAAAACAYTGGAGCGCATCCCAGCTGCCCACAACCCAGTCCCACACGTCTTCCACGGGACACGGCTACCACGGGCCCCACAGGCAGCCCACGATGGCAGCACAGATCCTGCTGGGCCGGTGGCACGGCTTGTCCCACTGCCACCACCCCGGGTGCCACTACCCCCACCCCGTCACTTCGGGCTCATTTGTTTCCTACCTCCTCCCCAGGGACAACTTTCCGAAGAGTTTCGCCACTTCCCCTCCCTTCCCCTGTCCCACGCCGGGCCTTGCCCCGAGCTGGCACAGTTTACCGGGTCCGGGAGAACGGCGGACGGGACACCGGGGGTGCCAAGCGAGACCAGGACACAGCACCGGCCTCAGCAGGAGCCCCCGACTGCCGCCCGGCCGGGGTCGCGGGAGCCCCCGAGAAGGGCTCCGGCCGGGGCAGGCTCGGAAGCCCCCGAGGGCGGCAGCGCTCCGGCTTCCTTCCCGCTGCCCCCTTGTCCCCGCGGGGTTCCCCGAGCACCGGGGGCTCCTCCCACCGCCGTGCAGCTGCACCGGGCCCGGCTGCGCTTTACGGCCCCTTCCYCGACCCCCGATGCTCCGGTAGCCGCCACCCCCGCCCGCCCCGACCATCCGCCCCCTCTGCGCACCGGGCCCGGCCCGGCCCGGCCGCCCCCGCCGCACCGGGCCGCGCTCGATCCCCCGCCCGCCGCACCGGGCCCTGCCGGCCCTGCATCCGCCCCATCGCTCTGGGCCCTGCCCGCCGCCCTCCCCGTCCCGCTGCTCCGGAGCTGCGCTCCCCCTTCCCCCAGCCCCGGGCCCTGCCCGCCGCCCCCCCCCGGTGCCCCGGCCCTGCCCCGCACAGCCCGGGCCTGCAGCCGCCGCCGCGTCCCGTACCTCCGGGAGGCGCGCCCCCGGCGCTCGGTGCCGTGCCCCGGCGCTGCCCGCCGCTCAGCCCGCTCGCATGGCGCGGCGGCCGGGCCCGCCGGGCTCCGTGTCCGTCCCGGTGCCGGTGCCAGTCCCGGTGCCACTCCCGCTCCGGCCTCAGCCCCGCCTCATGGCGCCCCCGCGCCCGCCGCGCCGATGGAACCGGCCGAGCCGCGCTGTCCCCCCCCGCGCCGGGCCGATGGAACCGGCCGAGCCGCGCTGTCCCCCCCCGCGCCGCGCCGATGGGCGCGCCCGCCGCCTCCTGCCGTAATGAGCCTAAAAGCGGTGCCACTGAACCGCGCGGCGGTTCTTTCGCCGTAATGCTTCGAGTGGCAGCGCAACTTATGTTGGGGAAGATCACAGGAATCAGAGAATCAAAAAAACACAGAATCGCAGAATCAATGAGGCTGGAAAAAATCTCTGAGACCGTGCAGCCCAGCCTATGACCCAACAACACCATGTCAGCTAGACCATGCCACTGAGTGCCACGTCCAGTCTTTCCTCAAACACTTCCAGGGACAGTGACTCCACYACCTCCCTGGGCAGCTCATTCCAATGCCTGACAAACATTTCCGTGATAAATTCTTCCTGACGTCCAACCTAAACCTTCACTGGCTGCCAGGGAGAACAGGTCGGGTACCACCTAGCTACAACCTCCTTTCAGGAAGCTGTGGATGTCTTGGGACAGCCCTGAGAAGCGCAGAAGTGCCCCAGGACAGTTGGGGCAGTTTGCAGAAGGGTGTCCAGCACCAGCCCCAGGAGTGTCAGGGGAGACATCCCCTGAGGGACTCCAGGCATAACCCCAGGCAGCTCACAGAGTGTCTGTGAGGATGTCCTGGAGCAGCCTTTGCAGGAGCTGGGGTGATCCTGGACCATCTCCAGACAGGTTTGCTAAGGGGTGTCACAGTCTGTCCCCTGTAACCTTTTCTCTGGGGGTTCTCTGAGCCAGGTGTGGGTGAGATGGGAACCTCAGAGCAGGATGAGTACCTGGGGAGACCCCAGAGTTTCTCCAGTATCCAGGYCCTGTGGATTCCCCAGGGAATAGGGCCATGGATGCGGGGGTCCAACGGGCTGCCCATGCCCTCCCCCCGCCACCTCCCAGCCCTTTTCTGCCTGACCAGAGCTGGACAATCCACCGTTGTCCCCAGCGGGTCTGAAGTAGGTCAGGGAGGCTGGGCCAAGCCCCTGGGGAGGGGAGTGGGTGGCAGGGGGTGCAGAGGGCCCCAGGCACCCGCCCCAGTGGCCACACCACGAGGTTGGTGCCCACCCCCTGTCCTGGTGGGACCTCAATGTCCCCAGCCCAGGGGATGCAAGGCATTTCCCTAACTCTCCTTTGATCTCCTGGGGTGGTTTGGGACCCCTCTGCATCCCTGCAGGYTCCAAACCCCTTCTGGGAGCCGAGGTCCCGTGGGTGCAGGTTGGGGTGGCTGAATCCCGAGGGATGGCACCCACTATGGAGACCTGAGGATCTGATTTTGGGAAGAAAGCCCGGAGCTGAGCTGGGTGGGAGGGACACAAGGAATACAGAAGGCGGGAGAGGGAATTCTCACCCCTTAATTGCAGTTAATGATTGATGAACGTGTTTACTGCAGGAGGCAAAGGTCTGACAGTGTCAAGATGCGAATGCAGACGCAGCATCCCCAGGGACACAGGTAAGGGATGTCAGCCCCTGTCCCGGCCCCCACAGGCACCCTGCTCCATGCAGGGGGAGATGGGGGTGTCTGTCGGCCCCACAGGCCCTGGCAAGAGGAGGGAGACGCCCTGGTGGTGCCATGGATTGCTCTCAGACTCCAAGCACTCCTTGGRAAGGCCCTGTTGGGCACAAGCAATGGAGCCTCCAGCCATGCCCAGGACAGGCTCCCGGGGTCCCCAAGCACACCCCCAGTCTGCTCTGCCTGGAGGATAATCCTGTGCCACATCCCCAGGAAGTCCATGCCCAGGGGTGCGGTGTGGAGCCTGGCATTTGCTTATCAGCCCAGCTCAGCAGAGGGGACTGTTCACCCCTCCTGCCCCCAGGAGGGATTTGGGGGGCAGCTCTCAGCCTCTCAGGTGCTTGTTCCCTGATGTGTGCCCACAGGTACCCTGGCAGGATGGCATGGAGCTCCTTGGTGCTGCTCCCCTTCCTCCTGGCARCAGGTAAGGACTCTTCTTGGTATCTGGCATTGGTGGGTGGAAGGTGCTGGAGGTGCTTTCAACTCCCAACACTCTTTCTTAATTCCCTGGGAGAAGCTGYGACCCCAAAACAGCTGCCCACCCCACAGGAGACCAGGGCAGGGCAGGGTTGGGCAGTGGGGAGGGCACGGGGGCTGCAGCTGGAGGAGAAGCAGGGTCTGGAGGTGATGGCTGGGGGTTCCCCTGCCTCCCATGGAGACCCAAAGCACGGCTGGAGCTGAGGAGGGGCTGCCAGCCATGGGTCTGAGCCTGGCACAGAGATGGGCTCAGCTCCTCCTCCCTGCAGTTTCAGGCAACACGGTCCCCATCTTCAATGAGACCATCTTCTACGTGCCTGAGGACCTGGARCTGGGTGAGTAGGGCGGTCTCGAGAAGGGCCTGGGGGTCAGAGGAGTGACTGGGGGGTTCTGGGGCAGGGGCTGACACTGTCTGTGCCCCCAGGCCAGTTTGCTTTCCAGCTGAAGGCTTATGACCTAGACAATGACCCCCTCACCTACAAAATCGAAGGGACACACGCCTTCTACTTCTCTGTCGACGCCAAATCAGGCAACGTGACACTGAGGAACTCCCTGGACCGCGAGGTGTGGGCAGATGTCCCTGCCTGAGTGGGAGTCTGGGGTGATGGGGATGGAGGGCAGAGCCTGTGGGTCACTCCCTGGCCCCAAAACACAGCTCCTGGAGGGAGAGTTGTTTGGGGGCTCAACCTTCCAAGGACTGAGCTCCACCCCTGCCCTGACCAAGTCCTGCCTTGTGTCCCCTCAGCTCCAGGCCAAGCTCACCATCACTGCCAAAGTGTCTGATGGTGTAAATAATGAGGTGAGTGCTGGGGCAAGGGCTGGGTGGCTGCAGTGGGAAGGGAGCAGGGTCCCAGTGAGGCCACGGACAAGGCTCAGTGGAAAGGCARCTGGAAGTGGGTGGGTGATGCTGGCTGGCTTCAGAGCCAGGGCGGGTGTGGGGTGCCAGAACAGCCCCCAGCTCTGCTGGCCACCATTTCCCACACCCATCCTGTGCCCTCCCTGACACCTGRTAGGTCTCCCGAAAAATGATCGTCATCGTGGAGGATCGTAATGACAACGCCCCGGTCTTCCAGAACTTGCCATATAACGTCTCCATCCCCGAGGTACMTTCCTGGGACCTCCCAGCCCCCACGGGCAGCGGGGCAGCCGTGCTGGGTGGCTCCTATGGCATGGGTGTGCCGGCAGTGGGACAACAATGCTCTGGGAACGGTGTGACCCCACGTCTGGGTGTGTGGTGACAGTTACCTGGGCGTGGGGTGACAGTCAGCACCTGGGAGGGCTCAGCCCCGGGGAAATTCCCGGTGGGAGCCTCTGTGTCACCCTGAGGCGCCGGAATGTGACSGGGACTCTGCCCTTGCAATGAGCTTCTGTTCAGGGTGTGCCCAAGCTGCCTCTCAGCCCGGGACAGGGTGACTCTGGATCAAGGTGTAGATGGGGCGTGGGGCTGAGTCCAACCCTGCTCTGGCAACTCCAGGGCTGGGGTGCAGCCCCTGCTCCCGGGGAGCCCCAGGGAGGGTGGGGAGGGGGTCCAGCCTGGCCTGAGCACGGGCAGCAGCTCTGTCCCTGTGTGTCCCATGGCACTGGGCAGTGTCTGCAGCTCAGCATAACCCCCTGCTCTCCCACCACCCCCCTGCATGCCCAGAACATGACACTGCACAGCATCATCTACACCGTGTTTGCCAACGACAGCGACACCGGGAACGCCTCCAAAGTCAGCTACGGCATCGAGGAGGTGAGCACAGAGCATATGGAGTGGYCACAATGCCCAAACCCCATCCCTGGGGCATCCCTGTGGGGTTGGGGTGCTGGGGGCTGTGGCAGCCCCATGTCTCTGGGGACAGGGAGGGGCTCCCCATGGGCCAAGACTGGCAGAAGGGTGGACACTGAGCCCCCATCTCTGCTGGGACACCTCTGCTCCCTGTCTTGGTGACAAGGGTGATGATGTTCCCTGCGCAGGTGATCCCAGACAACATGACRAATTTCCATCTCTTCTACATCCTGCCCAACGGCAGTGTGGTGCTCAACGGTTCACTGGACTACGCCAAGAACACATTCTACCAAATCAAGATCCTCGCCAAGGTGGGGAGCAGCCAGTCTGGGGGTGCAGGGCTGCTGGGTAAGGGGGCTGCAGGACTGACAGGTGCTCTTCTCCTCAGGATGGTGGGGGATTGCTGCACAACGAAGAGGTCATCCAGAAGAGCTTTACCTACCTGCCTGTGACCATTGAAGACATGCCCAACCTGAGCCCACGGTTCCTCAATGAGCCCTACTCGGGCTCTGTGCCTGAGAACTGTGACCTGGTCAGGAGCCTGCMTGCCCCAGTGTCATGTCCCTGCCCCTGGCCCTCCCTGGGGTTCTGATCCCCTGGAGTGTCTGGGCCCTGATGGCCATGTCCCCACAGGGCACCGTTGTGCTGAGTGTCACTGCCATWGACCGAGACACGGGGGTGAATGATGAAATCTTCTACAGCATCAACACCAGTGAGTGATGGGGCAGGATGGGACAGCCAGGGTGGGTGAGCAGGAGGGGTGRTCAGGCAGCAAGGGGGACCCTGGAGACTGATTTTAGGTACTCAGGCTCTGCCAGCCTGACCTTTTGGCAGAGGGAGGGCCAGGCCTGCCTTTCGTGATGACTGCCACTGGTTCCTGCTGTCCCCTTGTCCTAGATGCCAGTGTTCCCTTTRTTATCAATGTCACAACGGGCACCATCACTGTGAGTGAGCCCCTGGACCGTGAGCAGCTGCCAAGTGAGGAAGTGCTGCTGGAAGTCACGGTGAGTAGGAGGCAGGAAGGGGAACCCCATCCTCTTCCTCTCCCTGGGCCCTTCCAACCTGCTCTCTCCTCCTGCCCAGGCACGTGAGAAAAACCTGGATATCTACGGCAAGGTGGCCCAGACCAGCACCTGGGTGACAGTCGTGGTGAC